GTCTCTCTGGTGAGCTCTTGTTACGTGTGTCGTGTTGGTCGTGTTTGTGCGAGGTGCGTTTCTCTGGTGAGCTGTCTCTGTCATCTGCATCATGTCGGTCATACTTGCGTAGCGTGCGTCTGCCTGGTGTTCTGTTTATGTCATGTTTCCCGTCTTGCACCAGCTCCGCCCTTTCCCGCTCTATCATTACAGTGTATCCTGATGACTTAGGGTTAATTATTTGTCTCTCTCTAACGTTGGGGTGGTCGGCCTCATGTTTCCCCGTTTGTATTATTATTTCCTCTTCTCTCTCCTCGATTTGCGAGGGTGTTACTTTATCAAAATTGCTTTGCATAGTAGCCATACTCATTGTGGGATCTGGCCCTGGGCTACGTCCCCGTGGCTCGGAGTGTGGTAAATTGTTACTCCCGTATGTGTTCTGTGTATCAACGTCTGGGTGTTTCACTGGTGCATTTAGTGCGGATTCTTTCTCTCTCACGAGGGCGTGCAGACGCTCTACCTGCACCATTAAGGACAGTTTCTCTTGTCTCTCCCTTTCAAATTTTTCCTCATTCCATAATCTTTCTCTGTCTGTCTGTGCGAGGAGATACGAGTCTACCCTCGCTATTTCTGCAATTTTTACGTCACGTTTGGCTTTGCCACATTTCATCACGTCCTTAAGTAGTTTCCTTCTATGGGCCTTAACATCTTCTGTATGGCTCCCCTCCCATATATCTCTCTGCTCCGTCTGCTGGCTAGCAGTCCGTCCAGTACGTTTTAACACAAATTCCCGATATTGTTTTTCCATAGATTCCATCTCCTCCTCAGAGGTCCACTCTGTATCAGTGTTATGCGTTGGCGTGTCAAACTCAGAATGTTGTGGATCCTGTGCCATCTCTATTATGTAGTGTGGTTAATAGACTTAAGAGTGTATCTTAATTCTAACATCTCATGTGCGTCGTGAGTTACTCTAGAATTCCCCTTCAGAGCACATATAAACAATTGTATCACAGGATGCGTCAGTTCAACTCGAGCAAATAATCTCAGCCCAGCTGTCTTTGTTATACTCTGCTACTCTGGTATTTCCCTTCAGAGCGCGTTTTGTTTGTATACCCCCGTTTACAATCACAAGGCAGCGTTAGTTCACAACACTTTGATTAACACATCAGTGATTCGTTCCTGAATTCATGCATAACTGTCTGCGAGAGATCCCGGAAGACGAGCCCCCATTATGTTGTATATGTTGGGTTAAGAAAATTTGTTATGTTGTATGCGTGCGTGGGTGAAATTATTATGTTGTACCTGTGTGTTATGAATATTCAGTGAAAATAATAATTATTAAATGAAATCTGGCCAAATGTGTAATTATCCGGAAATATGTTAATTTATGTAATTACGCACATTTTAATTATGCCAATTCGAGAGGTAATCGGATTAATTATGCGAGTGGGTGTAATTATGATAATACAAGTCGTTATGATAACCAGACCCCGCCTCGGTGACGAGGGTGGGTTATCGATCGGAAGAAGGCAATTAATCGTATGCAGTTATGCAGGTGTGGTGTAAGTATGCAAGATTAACTTAGATTAACTCGGCATCGTTGTCTAGGTTCGTCTCATTCTCGCTTTAACATTCCCAGAGTTTTATTCGTGGTTATATTTTTAGGTCCCCGGTTCACCCCGTTATCGCTTTAACATTTACTGAGTATGTATTAGTGTGTTTATTAAGGTCACCAAGTTCAAATCTCAACGCAGAAGCAGATCTTATGCATAGATTTCAGGAAAGAATCACACAACCACTTCTGTATTGATCAATGTATTACTAATTCAACCTTAACTATGATATAATATGCGAACTCTCAATCCCGGAACGTCAACACGGCATCAATACAGTATCATCAACGATTGTCTGATTTCACTTTGACAACTGCACATGGATCCCGCATAACGCGATGGTTGTTAGTGAGAGAGAGAGTCGTTAAAACACGCAAATACTATGCTAAGAAAACCTTAATGTTAATGAATGATTATACTCAATATTGTTCATAACGCGATGGTTGTTAGTGAGGGAGAGAGTCGTTGAAATATGCAAATACTATGCTAAGAAAACCTTAACGCTAATGAATGATTATACTCAATATTGTTCATGCAGTACCACACTCCTTATTGACCATACGCAACCCTTATCACGTTGTTAACACCTTGGGTCACGGGACAGTTGAATATTCTGTAGAGGATGCGAGTACGTGCGGCGATTATGACTGAAAGATACTTGAAAGATTATACGGCGATAAAAACACAATCAAAAACAGTTATTATTCTTAAAGGCACCAATCTCAACAGATACATCGGCAGGTTATCTGACAACAGAACGGCCCGGAGTAAGGGCCTGCGACGGTGCTCCTTTTCCGAAGCTCGTTATCTTATACCAAGTTTACTAATTGGGGACCAGATCACCTGATAAGGATCCGGTGGGCCACCACTCCCCACGTGAGCGTGGCTCGGCGGAAGGAGGTGCCAAGAATCAGTTCGTATTGATGGATCTGTTGGGAATTTATGCGATTAAGAGTACAGCCCACTAAATATTAAAGATAAAAATTAAGAATACTCTTATAAACGACGGAGGGCCATCACTCGGTCTCGTTGCGATGCTTTCCAGCCACGGATGGCTTATGGGTTCGAGTGTTTTTGAGTGGTAAGAGTTGTCTTGAATAGTCAGTGTTCGGAGTCGATTCTTTAGGTCAAACAGACGCCTGGTGGTCGTGTGGTGAGGGGGCGGTGCGCGTCATACGTATCAGTTGATCCCCTGTCACCGTGGCGAACTGGTTCGGATGCCCGTTGATACGCTGTCGCAGTTCGGAACCCGGTCGGTAGGTGGCGCCCACAACTCGCTCGTAGCGTGCAGCTCTGGGTTGTCGCCGATCCGCGATGCTCACCACTCCGGTGGCAGCAGAGACCCCCGATTCGGCAGAGGTTGACGAGCTGAAGATGAGTCGAGCCGACCCGCTGGTCGCAGCTCGCTCCTGAGTCGACCCTCCCGGTCGAGCTCGCTCCTGGGTCGACCCGCTGGTCGCCCTCGCTCCTGAGTCGACCCTCTGGTCGCACTCCTGAGTGGACCCGCTGGTCGCACTCCTGAGTGGACCCACTCTGGTCGCACTCGTTCCTGAGTCGACCCTCCCGTCGCACTGATTTCCAATGCTCAGGATCCTTTACTTTATGCCGAAAATTCCCCCTGGATCCCGCCCACAAGGCGGGACTTCTTTCGATTTTTGCTGTGTCAGGATCTGTCCGTAGGCAGGTGTGCCCACGTGTGTGTCCGTACGTCCGTATGTCCTTGTGTGCATCACTCACGGTATTCCGTTGTCCCACTCCCTCCATAAAACCCACGAGCAAACAATCAGATGTTACAAATTGCCTCGAGGTCGTCTCTCTGTCTGGGCGCAACATTATCTCCTGTCTGGCCTTCCCCATGAACCCAAAACACAGACGTCACAAATGTCTCATAGGCGTCTTTGTTCGCACCACCTGGAGGGAGGGGCAACGCTCTCTCCGACCCGGCGCACAAAGAAATGGCCAAAAGTTTTAAGTTAACATTTGTCCCTTACTATTTCACAGCCATGATTCCGCATGTAACCCAAGGTCTGTCGTTTCCCATCGTGGTGCCCGACCCAAGTGGAGGCGTCTCCCCGAGCGTACACACACTCCCATCCCGCGCTGCGGGGATACAAAGACGGCCGGGATCTCCCTTTCTCTCCGACCCTGGGTTTAACATCGTTTTTTATTATGTATTTATATTCGACCTGGTGGTGATTCATCCCGTTATCCTGGCTTTTCATAAGTTTTACTTTTGTCTTTTCATGCATATGCTTCGGGTCGAGTTGTATAGAAAGCATTAAAGTATGAAAATAACATTTCATATTGACTTAATGATGGTGATGGTTCAGTAGGCGTACTTGTGACCTGGTTTAATTGGAGTGGGTGTGAATATCAAACTTTAGCCTACCCTGTTGTTAAATTCCGACTTTAACGTTACTTTAATAGCAATACAGAATAATTGAGCTTTTTGTCTTAACTAGGCGAACGCGAACTTCTGGTGACCCCCGCACTGTCTCTGCCTCCCCCCCTGTGCACACAGCCTTGAGCTGACCCACTTAATTTAATTCTTGGCCTTCTTGGGTTTATCTATGTTTCCTCAGCTGCAGGAGAACAAGGCGTGCTTCTACCTCCCTTTCTGTGTGCACGTGTTCTAATTAGCTCGGAATCCCTAACACACAATCAGTGATGATTCCTGGCTTTCTGTGGTTATGACTTAGACAAAGGCGCCTCTGCTTCCTTTCACTGCCTTTGCCTTGAAGCAAGGTTGCAATTCTGTCATCCTAGCCCTCCTCTCGTTCATTACTTAACAACACCTGGTGTTTTGCAGTTTGGTGCGCTTTGGTGTGTTTCACTCATTAAAAAAAACAAGTAAAAAGATAATATATAAAAATCATCAAATATTATTAATCTCAATTATGGAAGAAGGGTTAGGATACAACATGTGTCCATTGGTGATGGGATAGTACGGGATGGAGCGTGGCTGAGTTGTTGCGATGTGCCATTGTCTCGTCCCCAAAATTGCACTGGCCGAGTGTATGGCCAGTGGACGTTGCTGTGGTTGGACGACCACGGTGAGGGCGAGTTAAATGTTACCGCTGGGGAGCGTGGCTCTCTCCACGCGAGGGTGTGCGGCTGGGGGCTTTGTTGAGAGTGACAGTGGGTACATGCTGTGTACGTAAGATGTCTGTGCTGGTCCTCAAGGGAGGACTGCTGGTGGGCAAGAGCAGGAAAAAAAAATTTGTTTGTTGTCACGTGTAAATAATATTGTTGTTAAAATGTAAATACTGGGGCATCCATCGCGTCTATTTTGGGTATTTATTGGGGTTTTCTTTACGCGGGCCGGATTTCGATCATCTCCACTACCCTGGGGCCGGGTGGCTGTCGTGTACGACACGCGGATGTGCGTTTTGTTGTGTTGTACCTCAGGGGGTTGGCTTCTCCTTCTCGTCACAGATCTTCAGCGCCTGCCACACTGGGTGTTGCCAGTTGTGCTAACCGAATGTGGACTTGAAGGGGGAGTGGAGCGTCTGTTCGTCACTCCTGCTCTACCAGTTGCTCTCTGAAGTTGGACTTGAGCCAGGCGGATGGACCAGCAACACGGACACGCTCTGAGACACCGCATTCCTGGTTTATGCGCGTCGGCCGTTCTGGCGTGTCGGTTGCCGTTGTTGTGCATTGTTCCATTCTTAATTCTTGTTGCTTGTTGCGCGGAGGATGGGTCGGTGTTCTGTACCGGATCGTCCCTTTGATGCGGTGAAGTTGTCCTGTCCCCTTAGCAGAAAAACACCCCCAAAGCATAATGTTTCCACCTCCATGTTTGACGGTGGGGATGGTGTTCTTGGGGTCATAGGCAGCATTCCTCCTCCTCCAAACACTGCGAGTTGAGTTGATGCCAAAGAGCTCCATTTTGGTCTCATCTGACCACAACACTTTCACCCAGTTGTCTTCTGAATCATTCAGATGTTCATTGGCAAACTTCAGACGGGCATGTATATGTGCTTTCTTGAGCAGGGGGACCTTGCGGGTGCTGCAGGATTTCAGTCCTTCACGGCGTAGTGTGTTACCAACTGTTTTCTTGGTGACCATGGTCCCAGCTGCCTTGAGATTATTGACAAGATCCTCCCGTGTAGTTCTGGGCTGATTTCTCACCGTTCGCATGATCATTGCAACTCCACAAGGTGAGATTTTGCATGGAGCCCCAGGCTGAGGGAGATTGACAGTTATTTTGTGTTTTTTCCATTTGTGAATAATCGCACCAACTGTTGTCACCTTCTCACCAAGCTGCTTGCCGATTGTCTTGTAGCCAATTCCAGCCTTGTGTAGGTCTACAATCTTGTCCCTGACATCCTTGGAGAGCTCTTTGGTCTTGGCCATAGTGGAGAGTTTGGATTCTGATTGATTGATTGATTGCTTCTGTGAACAGGTGTCTTTTATACAGGTAACAAGCTGAGATTATGAGCACTCCCTTTAAGAGTGTGCTCCTAATCTCAGCTCGTTACCTGTATAAAAGACACCTGGGAGCCATAAATCTTTCTGATTGAGAGGGGGTCAAATACTTATTTCTCTCATTAAAATGCAAATCAATTTATAAAATTTTTGACATGCGTTTTTCTGGATATTTTTGTTGTTATTCTGTCTCTCACTGTTCAAATAAACCTACCATTAAAATTATAGACTGATCATTTCTTTGTCAGTGGGCAAACGTACAAAATCAGCAGGGAATCAAATACGTTTTCCCCTCACTGTATCATGTGTGGATGTGCCAATGCTAGAAGAGTATGTTGGTAATTACAAGCTCATGGGCTTCATGCAAGTGTAGTGACATTTGACGTCACTACCGTGTCGGGTCAGTACACACATGACGTCACTGCTATGTTGGGGCAGTACACACACAACGTCACTGCTGTTGGGTCTCTCCACACATGACGTCACTGCTATGTTGGGTCTCTATGCGTGACGTCACTGCCTGTTCGGTATGGAGGCTGTTGACGAGTGCCACGGGGGTTGTGTCAGGCCGTGACCCCGGCGGGACACGTGATCGGATCCAGGTGGGGGTCAGGGGCCCTGGGGGGCCCTGGGGGACCCTGGGGGTCACGTCGTCGGGGAGTGGAGCCTTGTCGTGGGTTCGAGCAGGAGGGCGTGGCCAGTGTTGTATCAATAGGCCTTTTTCCAAAAAATAATATTAAGAATAATTCTGCTGATATTTTTTTCAATAATCAATCACGGGGTCGCTTGGAGCAACAGGGGGTGAGACACCCTCCCCCCCCCACGAGCAGCCACACTCGGGACCAGAGAGCCAGAGGTGAGCCCTAAAAACTAATTTAAAAAACCATGCGTCGACAATTTCCCGGGCAGCGAAAACCAAACAGGCATGTTTTTAGGTTATTATATTTAACGGAAAAGTCCAAAAACTTAGCGACAAGAATAAGTGACCATCATAGACCCAAACACTCACTCCGATTAAAGACCAGGCTACAACCTACATTAGTGGGGTATTATTTCTCATTTACTATTTGAATACTAATGTTATTCACCTTTTTCTTATTCTTCTGCCTACGTGACCTTTCCAAAAACCAAGGAATATGAATTCCTAAAATCACGAAAACTTAAGTCCAAACTTAGTTACATCTAACCTCAGGATATCAAAATATAACTCGAGTGAAACAGCGCAATCCCTGGATACAGACGGGGGAACGAAGGTTAATGAAACCCTATGAATATACGTGGTAATAACAATGCTAAATCACAAATCTTGAATAAACAAACCAAATAATAATTATGAAGTATTAGACCAAGGGTCATCCAGGAGGGATAAGGCGAAATAGGTCAACCACGCGCAACCAAGATAAAATGTATTCCATAGATAAATCCTCCCAGCCGCCTTTGTCTTCCAGCAGCATGTGGTAGCAATAACACCACAAAGGGAGAGACAATGTAACACCCCCTTTGTGAGAAGCAAAGAATGTAACACCCCCGCGAGGGAAGGGGGGGAAGCAGGTTAATTATTGCAGAGGGTGGGGGGGCTGAAAGGACGCACGTTGGGGCAATCTGGAGCAGCTCCTTCCTTTTGATGGTGGGATGGCTCAAGGAATGCGAAAGAAACCAGGCTCTGATGAAACGCATTACCTCAATAAAATCGGAACATATTCTTAGGTTTTTTTTCGGTAAAGTCACGTAGGTAAAAAGTTAAAATTAATAAAAGTAAAATAAAATAATAAAAAATCACGACGTTTCGGAGGCAACACAAGCTTCCGTCTTCAGGTGGGACCGTCAAAGCACGATAGCTGTATCAAGTGAAAGAAATTCCAAGAAACAGTATTTGTATATATATATTGGTTGAGGGTGGGAGGAGCCAAGGTAGGCCATGAATATTATTTTTGTGAGGTTCGGTGCGGCTGAAGCACGATGTTAGGAATGAGCCTTTGTTGTGTAAACTAGGAGCAGATGATGTAAAGGTGCGTGTGAAAGGGACTGAACCTTTTTGTTATGTAGAGATGATGCGGCTGAAATCGCTGCCAGGAAATTAGTCTTTGTTGTGTAGAATGGTTGACTGAGCCTTTTATTATGTAGAGGTGGTGCGGCTTAAATCGCTGCCAGGAAATTAGTCTTTGTTGTGTAGAATGGTTGACAGAGCCTATTGTTATGTAGAGGTGGTGCGGCTGAAATCGCTGCCAGGAATGCTCCAAATATGTGTAGTTAAATCTTTTTTGCATGGTTAATAACATCTTTCCAATGATTACTAAGTTTGTACCCATCATCACGGTTGAAATTATATCTGTGTTTGTATATTTGGATGGCCTCGTGTACAAACCTTTGATGGTAGCCAGGAGGCTTGCAGAGCACCTTAGTCTTGGAAAAGACAATTTCTTGAGAGCCCACAGCATTGTAGCAATGATCGGCAACGGCGGAAGAATCAGTTTTGCCGTGTTTCAGATCTGACTTGTGCTCGCGGACACGATCAGAGATATGACGTTTCGTTTCTCCAATGTAGCAATCACCACAACTGCAACTCAGTTTGTAGACTCCAGGGTATTGTAAGTCAGGAATGACATCTTTCACAGATGGAATTAGATCACGGATTTTATGTACTTTACTGAATCGGACTTGAATCTTATGTTTGTTTAGAATTTTGGAGATCTTTTTGGTCACGCCTGCTATGTATGGTAACGTGATAGTTTTGATCGGAGTTTCATGTGGCTGTTTCTGTATGGTGGGAGAAACAGCTTGGCGGATGGTGCGGTCAGAGTATCCGTTTATCCTGAGGGCCCGATGTACATGTCTTAATTCACTGGCCCGGTGGTGTTGGTCAGAAATGCCATGAGCTCTGTGGTATAGCGTTTTGATGAGAGAATTATCTTGAGATGGGTGGTGGTGGGAATCGGGTTTCAAGTAGGAATCTGTGTGGGTGGCTTTCCTGTAGACAGAATGTCCCAAGGATCCGTCAGGTTTCCTCTCAAACAGAATATCTAAGAATGGTAGTTTACCATCTTTCTCCACTTCCATGGTGAATCTGATGGATGGGTGTCTGGAATTGATGTGGTCCAAGAAGTGGTTCAATGCTGGGAGGCCATGTGGCCAAATGACGAAAGTGTCATCCACATACCTCTTCCACAGGGAAGGACGCAGGGTGGATGTCTGGATGGCGTCTGATTCAAACTTTTCCATGAACATGTTGGCTATCACTGGTGACAAGGGGGAGCCCATAGGGGTACCCTCATTCTGTTTGTAGAAGGTGCCATTCCAGGTAAAATAAGTGTTGGTGAGGCAATGCCTAACCAGCGCAGGTACATCCGAATTCAATCCATGTTGGACCAAGTCCTCAATTATTGTTAGGGTGTCGGAAAGACAGCGTCTGAATGAACACCACCAAGCAGACAGACCTGTTCTTCACCTGAAGACGGCTGTTTGCGTTGTGGCTGAAACGTCGTGAGAATTGTATTTTATTATGTTTTATTTATATTATTTTATTACTTCCCTTCTACGTGACTTTACCGAAAGAACCAAGAAGATATACAAATGTAATAAAGGACTCTGCAGGCGATGTAGGTCTCCGTTTGTCCTTTATTGGGTTTTTGTCTCGCACCCCGCGGCGTCCACTGTCGGACCCGCGCCTCTACTGCCGTGCACCCCGCGCACGCTCCGTGTGCTCCGCACACCCCGCAGCCACAACGCTGCTCCGTGTGCCCCCGCATACTCCGCAGCCACACCGCTGCTCCGTGTGCCCCGCACACCCCACTAACTCCTCACAGCCCGCTAGCTCCTCACACTCCACTAGCTCCTTACACTTCGCTAGCTACCCCACGTACACCGCTGGCCGACGGTGCCGTGGACCCCGACCACATGGCAAATGGCGCCACTCCTCCGCCACCGCCCAACGTGGCTTTCCCCTATTTCCACTCTCTTCCAACTCCTAAATCTCTTCCGGCTCTCTCCCTATCCTCCCTATCACGTGACCCTGACCCCTCCGTCCTGTACTGCCCTCGTCTCTGCCCCCG